ATATATATATTTATATGATTCAAATTGTGTTTTTCCCATTTATTATTATTATTATCACATTTTATAAGAGACAAATGATTTGCAATTTTTTATTTCTTATTAAGTCCGAGAACAAAAACATGTAAGACCAATGCCAGGCTCTTACTGAGTTAAGTATATGAGAACTGGCTTACAAGGTTTTTATTTCTCATTAAATCTGGGAAGAAAACGTAAAACTTATGTCAGGCTCTTATTGAATTCAGTACATGAGAACTGGATTACAAGTTTTTTATTTCTCATTAAGCCTGAGAAACAAAACATACAAGGCTTTGTAGGCTATGCAAAGAAATTATGACAGGTGTCCACCAAATTATACGTTATTATTGTTTAAAGCCCATAGGAGACAGATTTTAACTGATGATTCCAATATTTAGCTGAAAGCCACAAGTGCGTTCATGGATCTGTAATACTATTTGTTTTACATGGATTTAGCTGTGTGCCATAAATCAACAAGCTCTTTGTGAGAACCTTTATATTCAGTCTAACTTTTACTTTTAGTCTGTGCTTATATGTCTCAATGCAATGTCATTCAAACTTAACGAGCTGATTCACTTTTAAACCCATTGTGGCTCAAGTATAAACCTGCAGCTTTTAATTAGGGCCATTCAGAGGGGGAAGCAGGAGGGCCATTTGGCCCGAGCCTCAAGAAGGGGCCATAAATTTTGATACTTTTTTTTTGCATTTAAGTTTCGCGACTTGTTGTTATGTGCCTCCCAATCAGACCGAAATGTGACACACACTCTCAGCTTAGAGCTGCAAATTATATATACAAATTAAATATTCAAATTACATTTCACTTTTCGTTTGGGCTAATGATTATCTTATTTTGTTTTCATGTGTCTCCATTTTATACTTTTATTATAGCCAGGCGGCTCAAAAGATAGAAGTGACCCGGGCCTCTCTGAACCTCTGAGAGGGCCTACTACTTAATAAAATGTCACATAGGTTTTGCATACAGTTTGAATAGCCCAACGAGATCCAGTGGCTAGCGTGCTGTACTGCAAATTTGAGTGTTCACTATTCCTGTCCTATTGCTAAAGAAAAAAAGCTATCGATTGGCGGTGAGTGCTCTATAGATTATCAATTCAAAATTAGAGATGGCTAGCTAGACAACCTTGTATAGCTTTACTCAAATATCAAGAAAAAACAGGAACCAAAAAACCAAACAAAAGACTAACTAACTTTGAAAACTTCAACTATATATTATCCAATCTTTGCTAAAATGTTTCGGCTGACTAGCAACCGAAAATCACTTGCAAAGTGGGCGAGTGATATATCAGCATACTTTAAGTTTTTGCAATACTTTTACTATTTCTTTTGATCTTTATTTGCCATGGTGTTATTAACGACATAAAGAACCGAGATAATTTTATCACGCTGTGATAAAATCACAGCGTGATAAAATATTAAAACGTATAGAAATGGGTAAGATCGAAATAAACGTTTGTCTGAACATTAACTGTCGATTTTAACCACTTCTTTGTCTTTTCAGCTTATTAACCAGATAGCAGAGCATGTCTAATAGTAATAGTGTTATACCGTATGTATTTTAATGGCTTGCCTTGACCCACCAAACAAGATAACAAACGTAGCTTACGAATGGGTATTTCAGGACTCGAACTATCTGTGACGTCATAAATGGAACAAATACCTCCGAATCCGGTATTTTCTAAAGGACATCGGCTAAATGGCTATTTCTTTTTCATGCATGATTATCATTTCCGTTTCTAACTTAAAAATTTTCCTTCCCTTAATAAGTATAAACTGTACGAAGCTAGACAGTAATACATAACGCGATTGGATTTGAAAAGTGCATATATAGGTCAGTAATATCTCTGATGCATATAGGGCGTGACACAGTGGTTATTGTACGCGATAGCTTTAGACAAGTATCTAGCTTACCTGATCCTAAAAATTATCATTGCATTGAGTATTCAGACAAATAATGATAAGACTTCAGTAATAGTATTAATATTATGTTTAAAATGCTGCGAATTTGTTCATGAAACTAAAAACCATTAAACAAGAAATGTGTAATACCACGTAAAAATAGAAAAACGGCCATTATGCGAGAAAGCTTAAAATAACGATCAGCTGACCAAGTATTTCATTTATTTATTTGCCAGGTTACTAGGCGACGCCCCCCCCCCCCCACGTGGCACAGCGAGATGTCCGGGGACTTACAACGCTTGAAACCGGGTTTCGATACCCGTGGTGGGCAATTCACAGATAGCTCTTTATGTAGCTTTGTGCTTAACAACAAACAAACAAACAAATAATTAGTAAGCGACTGCTTACCAAGGTCATCAGAAAACTGAATGCTGAATGAAAACATATTTGTTGTGTAGCTTTGTAGTCCAAATAATAATATTCTCATCACTAAATCAAGCCACGTGTCACAAAGCTATCCTCACGTGCTTAAGAACCAAATAGCTAATTAACTTTACGTGTTTGTTTGTTCACTTTGAAAGCAGAGACACGTCGGGCTATCTGCTGTGTCCACTGCGAATTTTAGCGTTGTAAGTCCGTAAACTTACCGCTGTCCCACCGTGGGATTAACTTTACGTGACCTGACTTAGAAACCGAGAACAAAACACCATAAACACCATAACTACACAATGCTTGATTTGTCTGTCGAATTTCGCGTAAAGCCAAACCATGGATTTGTCTGTCGAATTTCGCGTAAAGCCAAACTATGGCTGTCTGTGCTAACCGTCCCCTATTCTGAAGTGATAGATTAGAGAGAAGACAGCTAGTCAACACCATCCACTGCCAACTCTTGGGCTACTCTTTTACCAAAGAATAGTGAAGTTGTCAGAAACTCACGATGCTTGAGTGCTTTTTTTTTATGAGTAAGAAAGCACTGCATGCGTGTGGTTATTTAACGTGACAAGCATTGCACATGCGTATTGTACTCAAAAGATTTTTGTTGTCTAGGCTATGTTTCATATCATAACTATCTGTAATAAATATATGGCTACAAATTCTGGTAGGGTTTAAAAGGTTTGTTTGTAGTGAAACACAAAGTTATGAGGTATCTGTGCTGTGTCATCACGGGTATCGAAACCCGATTTTTAGGGTTATAGGCTCACAGCCTTTCCGCTGGTGGTGGTGGGTTTAACGGATGTGTAAATATATCTAAATATATACATATAAATATATATATATATAAAGGATTCTTATGATTTACATACATGAGAATATTATTTCCGACTAAATGAAACTAGCACCCGTTTAAAGCCATTGTTTTTATTATTATTATTATTTAACTTGTAAAACTCCCGTTTATTATGTGTCCTATTTAATATTTTTGAAAAAAAAAGCACTTTAATCTTAGGTTAACGACATATTGATTGTACAAATCGTGATGACGTTTTCAAAAATTCAACTTGGGATGTGTTGCTGTTTAAATCCTAAGGATAATAAATCATTGTTTAAAAACACAAAACTCGTTGCAAATTAAAGAAATATGAAGTGTTCTTAGTATCTTGTGTGGAAATATCACATTTTCTGTGTGAAAGTAAAGTACAACAAGGTTCTTCAGAAATAGGATTGTTTCTTTGTAAATAAACACAAAACTCGTTGCAAATTAAAGAAATATGAAGTGTTCTTATGTTCTTAGTATCTTGTATGGAAATAACACATTCTCTGTGTGAAAGTAAAGTACAACAACGCTCTACCAGGGTTTTTCAGAAATAGGATTGTTTATTTGTAATTAAGCACAAAGCTACACAATGGGCTATCTGTGTTCTGCCCACCACGGGTATCGAAACCCGGATTCTAGCGTAGTAAGTCCGCAGACATGCCTCTGTGCCACTGGGGGGCGCAGAAATAGGAACGCTTGACAACAATTATACGATACAACAACAATTATTACGATACAAACTAGATGGTAAAGAGTACCGTATTTTTCGGAATATAAGACGCACCCTTATTTTGAAGACAATTCAATTTGATACTTTAAAAATTAGTATATATTGTTCTAAACACAAAAAGAGCTCAAACCATCAAAATAAGAAAATACCGTAAATCAAAAAAGGTTTACTGTTATTTAGTTTGGTCCAAAACCTACAAAATCTTCATTGCTTTCACTGTAATTTATTTTTTATTATTTAGGGGGAATTATAAATAGTTATGTTTTTAAAAGAAAAAAAACTACTATTGTTATAAATAACACATTCAATTGAACTAAACTATGCATGCCTATTTAAATATATTTACACATGGCTTGTGTATATCGTATATTTATACATATATATTATTCATACCTTCGGTGTATAGGACGCAAGCAGATTTTGACATCAAATTTTGGGGTAAAAAAGTGCGTCTTATACACCGAAAAATACGGTATTTTCAATTTATTATCTATCTTTTAATTTTTGGCCATACCCAAGAACACCTGAAAGTTTCATGGCGATCAGAGGTCAGGAAGTAGACGGGTGGGGAGATTTAATTGGTTGTGAATCTCATGTAAATGGGAACATTAATAGGGTAAAGGGGTTTTAGAACCCATAGATATTTCATGATATTGGAAAAGTTGGAATTTTTCCATCGTGGACTGATATATAATCAAAAGTGCTTTACTGTATAAATAATCCTAACAGTGTGATTAAATTGCTTCTTTAGAATCTATTTAGATAACATTTGTTAAGAAGTCAAATCCATATAAATTCATCAAATGACAAAATTGTATAAGTTCATACTATCATTGTGTTGAGTCACAAATAATTCACGTTTATCAATAAAAAGGCGCAGTCGTTTATACAGTTTCTGTAGCATTATGTACAATTGTAAAATATAGCCTTACTTATCATAATATATTCGCAATTGGTTTGAGAAAAAACAACGCTATAATTGTTCCTTTCTACTTTAATTTTTATTGTAGTTCACAACACGTAATATATTGTTAGTATTGAATTTTATTAAGCACAATAAGGCGTAAGTCAACCACGATAAATTTCTTACTTCTGATGATGATGGCAAGGGTTGGGTTTGCATGGATCTTCAGAAGAACAACCACCAAAATCAAACTGTTTGTCTCGAAGGCCAGCACATCTGAAGAAAAAGATAAAAACAAGGGTACGGATTAAGCGAAATTAAATAAAAATATATACCGAAACTTTACTTCTCAAACGAGACTGGATTGGACGAATTTAAATATATATATATACCAAAGCTTTACTGTTCTGATATGTTATCATAGTTTTTAATATTGTTTATATTTCACAGTCATGCAAAACAACACAAGATGGCGCCATAAAAAAGGAAAAATATGTTTTCGCGATAAATAGGAATTGATTTTAATCACGTAGCACGAAAATTGTATTTAATATAAGTCTTTGTCTTGAAACAAAAAATATCAAAATTAGTTTCGTTAACCTGTTGATCGTAACTCGCATTTAAGTAAATATTTTACTATTGCAAGAAATTTAACTCTTAACAAATATCAAAATCAAAATTCGTTCGTTATTAACTTTACTTCTTTCGCTCAGAATAAATTATTTACTTTAAATAACATAAAAATAACTAAATTAAAACATCTAATGTGTGTTCTATAGTTCAACATTGAAATAAACAAGTTGTTGTTTTTTCGTTCATTTAAATATTTTCATTTTTAGTGAGAAACTTGCATACCTCGCCAAACAAGCACTTGGGTACGTCTTGCCGTTAATTCCACACACTGGGACGTAATGGTTGGGGCAGCTACACGGCAAACCTAAAACGACATCATACCTTTAAGAAATCACCGTAATATTTTAAAAAAGTATCTTAGTTGCGCATGTTCATTTTAATTTATCACAATAACTGAAACATTCACTGGGAACACCTTGACCATTTTATTTGAAAACTGACTTAATTATTCTAGAGCAAAATAAATAAATTGCTTTATAAACATAATGTAATGCGGAAAATCATCTTATATTTATCATGGTGTGTACGCCTTTTACAAGCTAGCAAAGCTTGATTACAGTCAAATATGTTTGACATAAAACATTAGTATTAGGCCTATTATATTTCTGACACTATTATTAAACTAATCCCTCAGGGATTTTCAAGAATTAGAAGAGTGTATAATAATAGCATTCCAACTACACTATTTGCGACAGATTAAGAATACAGTGTTAAAAATACACGATAAGCCTAATACTGATGTCATATGACAAGTATAATTAATTATAATAATGCTTCGTCAGCTTGGAAAAGGTGTTCTCACCATAACAATTGTACTTGTGACAAATGGCTTATTTAAGTAGTGTTCCAATCAGTACTATGTTTGTTATGTCCTAGCCGACCTGATGAACTCTGGATTGCGCGAAACGCTTCGCGGCAAGGGATATGGCGAACATTGTGTGGCTGTAATACTATAATTATACACTCTTATAAATCTTGAAAATAGCTAAGGGACTAGATAAAGAATGCAATATTAAAAACTACAATAAACCTAATACTAACATCTTACATCTAATTGCATATTTTTTATAGTTGTGAAAAGCTGAGACCAAACGGAATTCGAAACGGCTGTCCCCAAACAGGGCACGTTTTTTTCCTTAAATTGATCAAAAACATATAAAACATCTCCTGTTGAAATAAAAGTCTCAATAATAAACTTATTTATAGATTTATATATCATAACACTGAAAAGTTTAAAATTTTCAGTGTTGTTTGTCTATACAATACCAAAACTTATCGAAGAATAACGTCATATTTTATACATCTCATAAATCTTTATGTTCTTAGATAGGGTTAACTACATGATAGTACCAAGATCTCTACAGGAAGTATTTTATTTAAAATTTCTCCTAGTCTTACATTGCCCTAAAATCACACAACACCGTATATCTCCCAAATCTTCTGTTCTAAGTTCTTCATGACTCCTTTGCATGTCACAAAATGACACTGCGATTACAACAGGTAATAATAATAATATTAGGTCGTCAAGAAATTACTGTCGCGTTTTGGAACATTTTCATTAACCACCCACCAGAAAACGTACGTTAGTGTAGCCTATATAATGTGTAAAGTTTAGTATACTCCAATCCCCTCATGGCAGACGACGAGACACACATTCGGCGTGTAATGCTGTTTGATTACAAGAAGGGAAACAACACCTCTGTAGCCACAAAGAATATCAAGAAGTTTATGGAAATGTTTTGAACGTTCGCAAGTGTCAACGACAGTTCAGCAAATTTTGTTCAAGTGACTTTAGCCTTAAAAACTGTGATGGCAGGGGCCAACATGTTGGAATTGATATTGATTATCTGAAAACACTTGTTTAGTCTAACCCAAGGCAACACACTCGTGAAATGGTTCTGAAATTGCATTTCTCTCATGAAACAATACGTAAACATCTAAGGAATACGGGAAAACTCCTTAAAGAAGGTGTTTGGGTGCCTCCCAAACTTTCCCATGATCATCGTTTCCAACATATGAACTATGCTTCGTCTCTTCTGGCGCGTAATGCACGTGAACCACTTCCGACCCCCAAACCTGGACTCCATCTGCAGAAAGTGATGCTTTGCATTTAGTGGGACATCAAAAGGGTAATTCATTTCGAACTCCTCAATCCACAGCGAACTGTCAATGCAGAGATCTATAGTCAGCAACTGGATCGTTTAAATCAAGCTCTTCATTAGAAACGCCCTTCAATCGTCAATTGGAAAGGTGTTCTTCTTCTCCACGACAATGCACGTCCAAATGTGACACGTTTGACTCAACACAAGATTATGGAGTTGGGTTGGGAAGTTCTCCCCCACCCACCATATTTTCCAGATAATGGCACCATCAGATTACCATCTTTTTCGTTTGCTGCAACACCATCTTAATGGGAAGATGTATGCAAATGTGAAAGGTGTTAAAGAGGACATCGACATAATTTTTGCTTCAAAGCCAAGTGATTTCTCTAATCAGGGCATTAACCACCTGATTGTAAAATGGAAAAGCATCATCGATAAGAATGGAGACTATTTCACTTTATAAATGTTTTATTTTGATATATAAGTTGTTCGGGTTTTTTCATCTAAAAAAAAACGACATGAATTTCTTGGCAACCTAATACCTTCCTATTAGAGTCAGCTATTATGGCTAAACTAGAAATCAACCTGGCCATTAGTATAGCTAATTAAATACACTTTTCTTATGCATCTACTTATAGAGATTAGTATTCATTCTTTCACCAGTCGGGTATCTGCTATGTTTACTGGTTTTAGTACAATGGTACACAATGGGACATATGCGCTCTGGATTTTAGTGTTGTAAGTCCATAAATTTACCATTGACCCATTAGGGAAACAGGTAGACCATGCATTGCGGTGTATATGAAATAATTTCACACTTTGTTTGTTTCTTGTTAAGCACACAGCTGTACATTATAGCTATCTACGCTGTGCACACAACATGAATTGAAACCGGAATTTCTGCGTTATAAACCCTCAAGTTTACCGCCAAGACGCCAGGGGACATAATTTTGTTTGTTTGTTTTTGAATTTCGCGCAAAGCTACACGAGGGCTATCTGCGCTAGCCGTCCCTAATTTAGCAGCGTAAGACTAGAGGGAAGGCAGGTAGTCATCACCACCCACCACAAACTCTTGGGCTACTCTTTTACCAACGAACAGTGGGACTGACCGTTACATTATAACGCCCCCACGGCTGAAAAGGCGAACATGTTAGGTGAGACGAGGGATTCGAACCCGCAGACTGCGACTCGAGCGCCCTAACCACCTGACCATGCCGAGCCAGGGTACATAAGATATCATAAGACTGGGGCTGCCATGTGACTCCAAAAAATTATACCCCCCTACCGCGGTGGCTCAGTCGTAAACCTCACAGATTACAACGCTAAAATTCAGATTTCAATACCTGTGGTGGGTAGTGCACGGATAGCTATGTGTGCTTAATAATTTATACAAATTACCGTTACCTGTGGAAAAATTATTAGGTAAATTTTGGAATATACGAGAAACAGAACATTTAAAGGTGTCCACAGATACGTGAAAAAATTTCTTAGTATGTCCGTCTTTTGTAAACTTAAAAAAAAGACTACATAATACTACCAAATATTTACAACAGCACAGTACGATCATCTAAACGCCCTGAATTTGAAAATATTCAGTATCTCAATGAGGATTTAAAGCTATTATATATACACCGAGACTGTAAACCTTCATAGTTTCGGGAGAAAAAAAACAAAAAAACGTTAGGACTGACGGAAAGCTTTGAAACAGAGACAAAATATTCATATTTATTACATACAATAACTACGTACAAACCTTGCATATATAGGGGTGTCATTGAGGGCGTTAGTCTATTCATAACATAGAAACCGATTTCTGGACGATACTTTTAAAAGTTTACTAGCGTATAACCCGTCAAAAATGACGAGATAAGTACTACCACCCTAACCCAAAATATACCCTAACCTCACACTTCATTAGCTAACTGAAATAAATAAATTTTGCGAAATCAAGCTTGACCAACAAAGAGGCAGAAAAGTGCAGTCGAGGCAGTCAAACGGCGGTAAGTTCTTTTGTAAACCAATCAAAATTAAGATCATTCATGAAATGAATTTGTGGCGTATTTATAAAATAATTATTTGTAAAAATCAGTTAGATTAACAACTTCTAATTTATATAAAATCATGTGCGTTTTGGTAACACTAGGTTCGAACAATGGGTTTTATGTCATGATGCTTAGCGACAAAAGTATAACCTAATATTGTTGTTAGTTTATGTACTGAAGGTATAAAATGAAATGTATAGACAACAAACTGGAAAAATATTTGTTGATTTTTTAACTTAGTCTCCGTTGATTAAAGAAGTTTTTATTTATTTATTAAAGATGTTGATGATATAACAGAAAATAGCTTAAAATTCAATCGATATTTTGACTTTCATGATGTCTTTTATGCACTTGGCTCCAGACTAGGCGATTCCACACTACGTCCTTACTTTAGGCTTATTATACCAACATGCATTAAACTTATAAAGTTTCACGGCACCCCTCCCCTCACGGCCGCTTTGCATCCCCATCACTAAAATTGTAATGGACAGACAGTAATCGAACTATTCTATCTGAATAAATGCATTTTGACTTTTATGACTCCTCCTGTTTAGAGAAATCGAGTGTGACGTGACACACGCTGGATTTTATATAGGTTAGATACAATATCACACTGGATTTTATATAGGTTAGATACAATATCATACTTACCAGTGCTCATGTATGTCGATTGTTTCATCTCGGTGTTATCCGGACATGACCGTTGGGAACACACAATTTCACCAGAGAAACAAATACATTTGTTACAGTCGATGTAAAAGTGTGAATTGTGAGCTGTGGAGAAAATAATTTGTACAAAGTTAAAACTTACCGCATAAATAGTCTATGTTTTCACTCTTCGTCGTTTTATATATACATATATATGCCTATATTTCACTCTTCGTCGTCTGATATAAATATATATTTTTTCACACTTCATAATTTGATATAAGTATGTCTATATTTTCACTCTTCATCGTTTGATGATTCCTGGTAATAATGATATACTACGCTTTATGTAGTTTGTTTAATATTTTATAATAAACAACAATAAATCAACAGACCTCTGAACTGTTGTACAACTTACGTATCTTGTCTCCTTTCAACCAGCAGTTTTTCTGGTTCACACAAGGTAGGTTGACACACGCTTCTAGTTTTCCCAAGGAGGAACAACGGCAAATCTGTTGCTCTTTCTGGCAATGATATTCGTGGGATACTTCTGGAATTCGAACGTAGGATCCTTTAGGAACAACGAGATGAGACATCTCTCCCAATTTACAACCTAGAAAACAAACACAAAATTGTAATTTTCATCACATTACACATGGAAGAATAATTTGTGGAAAGGAAATTCATACACACCTTAGATCAGCGTTTCTCCACTCACGGGTCGCGATCCAACATTGAGTCGTCAAAATATGCGAAACGTCGCGATCAGACGTAAAAATAGATGACAGTCAGTCTACTCGTTTATTTAGTAATCCAGATGTGTTTTACAATAAAAATATTTACTAGATCGCGACTGTCCATGAGTGTTTACAAATGGGTCGTGAGTCATAAACAGGTTGAGATCCAAGTCTTAGATAACACAGGTGCATTCAATATAAAAAGTAACATAAACGTTATGATGAGGTTAAAATATGTGTAAAGTTGAACGGGAACAAAAATAAAATGTGAATATAGTTGTCCAATTTAACTAACTTTGCGTCGCAGTTCAGTGTGAAATAGAGTTGTTCTTATTGTTCAAATTAATATTAGTTTCCTATCAGAGCAAGATACCTATTAAAAGTGAAACTAAAAACCAACCTGGCAACCAGTATAGCTAGTTGAATCTACGTGTTTGCTTTTAAAAATTAGAATGTATTGTTTCATCAGTTGGTACCCTCGCTGTTAACGATATTTTCGGCCTTAATCCCAATAATATCTCACGAAGTTCAACCAGCTCAGCAGATTTAGGCTATATATATGCATCTTAAGCTAACAGTACAAAAAGTCTTTATAATAAACAATAAACCAAAATAAAAAGGAATGACATTCGACATACTTAATAGTATGATCAATACTGTGAGCTAAAGTAACAATAAAATAGTAATACACCTTACCTGGAGAATACAGAAACACCAGCTGTCTGTTTGCGGAAATTCAAGTTACTTATAAAGTGAATATTTCTTACTAGTTTTAGCAAGAAATATTCAGTTTTATTTTTGTTTAATGATATATAATCATCTCACGCTGAACGTTTTTCTTTGAATATTATAGTTTTACGTGCATTTTCCATCGAATTAAAAAATATAAGTTTAAAACATCTTTACTGATAGGTATAGACCCTGGTATACAAAATGCAGGTGTTCATTTCTGTTCGGATTATATGCAAGTACTTTTCCCAATGTACTTATCTCTTTTGTGCACAAGGTTCGTAATAAAAGAAGCACAATTTTGAGAAGCTGGCGACATATAAAAATATTTTCTTTAACACCCGCAGAAATCGGTAACTAATATCAAATAAACAAAGGAGCATTTTTTTCTACATATTTCTTGCTGATGGAAAAATCATCTTCACTGGCACCTGTTTATTATTATTATTTGTATTGCTTTAATAATTTTGATTCCATGCACTATTTACTTTATGTTGACCTTATGTCGTAGCCAGATTTAAGTAAACAATTATGTTAATTTATACACATATTTTCCATCAAGGTTTATTGTTTTTTGTCTTGAACATTTTACTATACAAAGTTCAAGTATTATTTAAAGCAATATTAGCAATGTATGGAATTTTCTACAAGATATTTCAGTCAATGAATACAATCGATTGTGTCTATCTGTTCCTTTTGGTGAATGTATGTTTTTACTATCTATTTCTAGAGCTTAGAAAATGAATATCAGAACTAGTCGAAAGTTGATGTACTCCAATTATATCTTTAACAATAGATATTACAAAACATCTGAAAAATCTATATTACTCGTTGTTTTTTCATGGGTAACACTTACAAGTAAGTTACTTCCTCTGCTACTCTAACACTTACCGCTAAGGCACTTATGAGGAAAACAAGGCTGACCATGAGAGCATTCACGGTTCACAACACAAACATCAGTTCCATTACATGCCCTGGATGTACAAGGATGCGTCACTTCCGCTGCTACTCTTACGTGAATACTTTCTTCTGAAAACGTTAAAAAGGTAAATTTTAATAAAGAAGTCTGTCAGGAAAATCTCTCTCAAAAATCTTATTTTGCTCAGTTACAACATTAGTACGTTCACGTCATGTGACGTGGGCTACACTATCGGGAACTAAGCAAGGACTTTACAGTGTTCGCCTCAATAAGACTCTTCTGGTATCCACGCTCAACACAATAGCTATCAAAATAAATAAAAAAAGGCACTAAAGTGAAAAGATTAAAAGTTAAATCATTTTATTATTGCCAGAAACAAAACTGAACTTTAGTTACTGAACACTATAGTATTCAAAATATCCAACAAGGAACACATTTGCTGATAAGCACATTGACAAATTACTACAATATACATTTAGAGTTAGGGATTGAAAAGTATTCAAATAAGATATTAAGAAAACACATTTTACTCTTCGGACTTACAACGCTAGAAACCGGATTTCGATACCCATGGTGGGTAGAGCACAGTTAGCCCGTTGTGTAGCTTTGTGCTTAACTTCAAACAAACACATTTAGCCCAGAATGGTACAAGACTCACCTAAGTACGGTTTTAAAGACACACAAGGGGGATCCTCCCCTGGTGGTGAAAGAACCTCACAAAGTGTTGTTGGGGTTTGGCCAGCTGGAAGTCGACTGTAATCCACACACTTACTCAAAATGTCAATACAGTCAGATCTGAAAGAAATGTGGTTTTCTAAAAAAATAATATTCGTATACTTAAAATAGGTTTTCACATTTGAGTTTTGTAAACGTTACCAAATTATTATAACAAAATACTTACTTGCAAATCATGTTAGCGTGCGATCTCTGGTGGCAAGGTTTGATCTGTAACACACAAGCAATTGTTTTCCAGGTCTCTGGATAACATGTGCTAATATCTAACACGGGGACATCCATCACGGGCAAATGAATAACTCCTGCTCTCCATAGTTCTACGTCACTGCGTGCGGCACGATCTGCTCTTACTTCGCAGCTGCGAAACAGTTGGATAGGACGGTAGTTAAAGTTGGTACAATAGCTGAGCCCTTCACAACCTAGCTCACAGGGTTCTTCCGCTGTAAGACAAAATCCCAACTCATACAGGCCCAATAATTATAGCTTAAATACCATAACGTACAATAAAACTGATAATAATTACCATTCACTTACATATTCTACTTCGCACCTTAACAGCTGTTGTTCATGATCTAAATAGCGCCTAAACCACTGTTACATTTGTCCTATCCCAGCCGGCCTGAAGAGTCCTAGTATTGTGCGAAAAGCCTCTTCGGCGCTGGATGTGGCAGATGCAGTATGGTTGACATATTATGGCATATCTGTCTTTTTTTTCGTTCGTAAGTTTTAGAATTAAGTCCGGCAAAGCAAAATAGTGCTTCTGACATAGGCTCAGACAGGAAGGAAATTCTTCGTTGGTACTTTCTCGGAACCTACGCTCTTTCAAAAGTGTCTTATTTCGGCTTCAGAATTCGTTAGCCATTAAGAAAAATACTGTGACAATTTTACTGTAATTACAAAATCGCAAAACCTGACATCGTTTCTTTGTATTTGAATAATTTGAATATTTATCCGGATATTGTTTGTTTGTTTGTTATGGATTTCGTGCAAAGCTACACGAGGGCTATCTGCGCTAGCCGTCCCTAATGTAGCAGTGTAAGATTAGAGGGAAGGCAGCTAGTCATCACCACCCACCGCCAACTCTTGGGCTACTCTTTTACCAACGAATAGTGGGATTGACCGTCACATTATAACGCCCCCACGGCTGAAAGAGCGAGCATGTTTGGTGGGACGGGGATTTGAACCCGCGACCGCAGATTGCGAGTCGAGCACCCTAACCACCTGGCCATGCCCGGCCTCGGAATACTGACCACACATTCTCTGTCAATGAACTTGACTGTAGAAATTGTAAACAATAAAGTTGTTATTACACAAGTAAGAAAGGCAGCAGCGACAAATTCATAATACTGAACATACACAGAATCCAAGAAATAAATAAATCTCTATTTAAAAAAAAAAATCCCGATAACCTCAAAAGCTTTTTTTACATGTAATATTTTGGGGTTTTTGAGTAGTAGCAGTAGTAGCAGTGTTTGTTTGGTTGTTGAATTTCGCGCAAAACTATTCGAGAACTATCTGTGCTCGCCGTCCATAATGTAGAAGGGATAGAATTAGAGGGAAGGCAGCAAATAAGCATTATCCATCGACACCTCATCACCAATTAAAAGTGGGATTGACCGTCATATTATAAAGCCCACATGGCTGAAATGGCGATCATGTTCGGTGACGGGATTCGAACCCGTAACCCACAAATTACCAGACCATACCAGGCCCGAGAGTCATAGTGATTTGTTCAATATTAGTAAATATTTGGGGTAGGTTTAAATGCTAGGTACATCCCAAGATATCGGACTCGGTAGATTTGTATTGTGTCTTCTAAAGAATGTTTGTAAAGCTTATGTCGTCAAAAATTTCTTTTCTTTCGCACGTGAAATTGACTGAGTAGGTCATTTAGCTATAGATTATAGTATATGAACGACAGACGAGTAAAACTGTAAATCCAAGGGTTCATCGTATGAATCCCGTTGCCATAGAAACTCCCTTCGCACTTTGGGACCATAGGTGCATCATAATGATGCTATTCGCACGACAAGAGTAGCCTAAGATTTGATGGTGGGTGCTGTTGACCAACTGCCTTTCTTTTAGTCTATCAGTTCAAAATTAGGGATCTATTGTTTGTATCATTGTTTAATTACTCTTAACCATGAGCCCCCCCCCCCCACTGGCACAGAAATATGTCTGCGGACTTACAACGCTAGAATCCGGGTTTCGATACCCGTGGTGGGCAGAGCACAGATAGCCCATTGTGTAGCTTTGTGCTTAATTACAAACAAACAAACTTAACTATGAATTTATTAATCCTATTCATGCAGTTTTTATTTAAAAATTTTCAGACAAGTCCCAATCAAATATTTATACAAAGCTATCTACAGAATTTGGAGGTCCATTGGCAACAAGCACATACAAAGAATCTTGTTATAGTGGCTTAGTGGCGTCAAAATATTAATAGTTTTAGTCAGTCGTGTGAACAGCTTAACTTTTTGTTTTATGAAATTAGCAATAACCCTTTAAACACAGTTACAAAAAGCGGAACAAAATTTTCTCTAGTTATCGAGACTGTTGTTGTGCATGTTGCAAACATTGCAAGAGCCATTTTAAACATGGCAACATTTACAGTTATTCTGCGCAAATTCCAGGCATTTGCAAACAACTGATGCGTAGGATTCTAAGCATCGGATGGCATAACAAACTCAAGAATGAATATCTATGGAACGGGACTCACCAAGAGCCTATTGACTAGTAAATACAGCGCAGGAAGTGGAGTTAGATAGAATAAACCCTAAAGAAAGTAACGTCCGATATTAACAGGCAGTCTCTGACGTGAAACTCACAAGGTACACGTAAAAGAGGTAAGCTTAAGAACACCTGGCGAAGAGACACATAAGCAGAATTAAAGAGACCGGGGTACACCTGGAGAGAGCTAGAAAGGACAGCCCAGAGTCGATTTAGCTGACCTATGCTCCATATGAGGCGACAGGCGTAAGTAAGTACGAAAAGGATTTACAATCAAGTTTATAAAAACAAAAACAAACAAACATTCACTACTAAAGAATTTGAAAAACCTATATTTGGAACAGTACTTTAGCTGGTAACTCATCCTTCTGGGGGGGGAAGTACGGATAGAATTTTTATTTTTGTCTACAAACTAACAAACAAGTCTAGGCTGCATATACTTAACACGAAGTAATATTACATTGATAATACCGATTTACTCGCAATTTGGCGCTGAATTATAATGCGCAATGGCTTAATACAGAAGTGATACAGTGAGAAGTGTCTTTCATCACATTAACAAACAGTACGAATGCTGTCATCAACATGCTGTGGATTTTGGTTTGTTTCTACAGAACATTTTTCATAAATATGAAATATATTCACGTAAAACTCTCGTACATTTAAAGTGCAATTACTGAAGCTTGAAATCTGTAGTCATTATTATTTGTTCTAATATCTATTAAGATTGTTTGTTCAATTACTTAACACCGGGTGTTAAAATACCTGACCGAACTACATGGGCACGAAAACTGTTTCGAAATAAGGTTTTAAAATTGACGGATGACTTCTCGGGAGATGAGCTGAGTCTATAGTTGCTGGTATTAACTGTTTTGATTCCGATTTCCGACTTTTATTTTCTCACTTTACGGTTTCTGACACGTCTCCTAACTTTTGATAGTGCTGATTGACACTTCAAACATAAACACTCTCATTTCAGAGAAAAAACAAAAACAAAACACACACCATTATTCAGCTTAAGATTTGTTTTGGGCACTTAGGAAAATTAATAGGAACATTTCAAGTAGAGAAAACATACCAAAACTGAGAAATGTGCTCCATGTCAATTTCAAGTGGACAGAAAAGCTTACCATCTGCCAGACAGTGTAACATATCTGCTTCTGCTGGTTTATATTGGCATACTCGGTGGAATTCATCCCAAGTTGTTGCCCATTCGTTGGAAAACGTCTGAGGATAAAAATAAACACTGAACTGTTCTCAACGTTTCAACGTAATCTAACATGATAAACACGATAGAAAAGTAATGAATAAAACATCCCGGTATGTCACGTGGTATCTGTTTTTAAAGATGGCAGCTATTTCTAATAAAGCTACTAGGTTTAAGAAAATGGCAAATGCATCTCATAATTTTTGCTTCTTTCTTTTTTGTTTTCGACACCATTAATATGCGGTATTTCTCTTGTGTTTATAATTACAAATCACGTGAAAATGTATTCCACTTTATTACTTGTTACCAATCGTCAGTTAGGTTAATAGTTTCTTCTTCTTAAAAAAACAACAACAACAACAACTAAACACCTTCTTTTGAATGATAATAACCGGAAAATATTTAGAAAATTCAAAACAATATTTTCAAGCATTTGTAACAAACACCATTTTAGTGTAAAACGAAAACGTAGTGACCTAACAGCCAACTGAATCATTATCTAACCTAAGTGTGGCAGTCATAAAATAAAGTGTCTGCATTCGAGAAGACGAGAAGAAAATATTTTAGAATCGCCATGAATTGTTTTAGCTTGTTTTCTACTTCTTGAAAGAAATACCCCCCCCCCCCTCGAAACGCTCACCATGATCTATTATCCGTAGGAGAGGACTGAACGGAATAAAAAATAGCTAAAACCTTAACTTTTTGTTGTTTTCTAACATCATTTAACTTTAAGAAAACATCAATAAATAAAGTGATCCTTCATCAACTTACTTTTCTCTAAGAAACATTGCAAACTTAAATTAGTAGCAACTAAACTTGTGTCACAGTTTGCCATTTCTAAGACAATTATATCAAGATTACCGAGTCAAAACAATCAATTGCAACAAAAAGTTATACCTTCAGACACAATCTTTGACACGTCAAGGTCACCGCACGATAGCAGCACTGTAGCTTGGCACTGTCCAATCCGGTGTGATCTACTCTCGGAACCAGCGCAGACTTAGAGGAATCAGCGTTCGCCAGAAAACATTGCCACAACTCATCCTGATGTTCGGAATCGTGGTATTTTTTGGAAAGAATTAATTTAGATTAACAACTTTTCAATTTTAAACGTCCAAAAGAAAGCATAGTCAATTTGCGAGTTTAGGACAACTATTTTATTATCTTTGTAATGAAGATACTAATTTAAGTATATTTGGTAGTTTTGGTAAATCTTGAAAATCTTATATGATCGTAAACTTAACCCAATAACTGTATTATTTAAAGGAGTTAATAATTATATCTCGACACGAAAAGTAGACAAAAATGTTTGTTAATTTATTGTTTACTTTTGAAATGTTCATCTATTTTTAATAAAATATTTTAAGAAACAAACATTGATCTGTTGAAAAAGTGCAATTTTTCACAGACACAAAATGAAATGGTTCCACTGTATTTTTTACTAACTAAGTAATTAAGCACGCCATAGATCATCAAGTTGAAAATATACTAAGAAAAATTTAAGAAAGCCTTCTCGTTTATTAAAACATTTATATTCCTCGGTTTTTATATCCTTAAACACACCATTAGAGGGCTGAAAAAGACTATAACAGGCTACAGTATCAAAAATAAGCACACCACACTTCGATACTTCAGCTTCCTTATCGTAACATCCGAATAAAAATACCCAATCACGTGTTGTTTACATTGATACATATCTTTCATTAAAGCGAGTTATTTATTCCAGGCATTAAATTCTCACAGTATACATTACGCTGCCATTAATACATCATCTAGCTACCTATATTCTGCCAACTTACACAAACGGAAACCTACACCAGATTCAATCAAGAGTTTGTGAGGAATATTTTGAAAGAACGCGAGAGTGATTTCAGGTTAAGTTTGGTATTTGTGTTACAACCTGAAGGTGTACACATTAGTAACTGTTTTACCATACACTATATCCCAAACTAATTTTTTTATTGCTTTAAACTATACCTCTTAAAATGTTTTATGCAAAAAACAAACAAAAACAGTCAACTGGGCATTAAAAAAAGAGTGTAAGTTTTTTTTTACCTTGCTTTTTAGTTCTCCTGCTTCTTGAGATGACTGAAAAGTTTGAGCTTCTTTTCAAATAATATTTTAGACTATTATCAGTTTTCTCGACATATTCACCGACATTTCTGAAGCGAATCAGATAGGCAGTTCGAAATACTTAATATATTTCAGATGGTAACCTATAAATTACACTTTAAGTACCTAAGCTATATATATTTAGGAAAGAAAACAACAACTGTTCCATTTCTACATTTTACTATCAGTTTTGGAGATAAACTCTCATTCGTAAATGACAAAAATAACCCATATTTGAAGATGAATTAGTTTAAAGCTAGTCCCCTGGTAGGTTAGCGGTAAGTTTACAGACTTACAACTCTAAAATCCGGGCTTCAATTCCCCACTGTAGATACAGCAGATAACCCAACGTGGCTTTGCTCGAACAAAACAAACAAACAAAGTTTAAAGCTTGTCCAATAATTTATATACGTTTCGACAAAAGTGTAGCTATTTTTCTAATGTCAGTTTGTAAGTAATTTATTCCTTAGGGTTTGTATTATCAGCTTCTCTAATCTACCAGTTAGTTGGGCAGTTTTTATTCACGTTTCTTATAATTTTGTTAAAGCCAAAAAATTAAAAAAACATTATCGTGACACTTGTATAATGAATAAGACATAAAACAAAAGCTAAGAGATAAAAAAACTGGATTTACTCACATGAGGTAGAGGAGGTCCACAACCTCCTTGTATTAGACTATCAATTATCTCTTGGTCAGTAGTCTGAGTACGTAGGACTTCGCGACAGATGACACGGCATTGCCGATTGGAGGATTGTTCACAACAGTGAAGATCTGTGAAGGCCACCAAGAAAAAAAAGTTATCATCAGCGATTGTATAATACTCAATGTGCATTTATAATGCTTGTCTTATTTTGAAAACCTAATTAGACTTGACTTAGATTTGGTGTACCAGCTGCGTGCGGATAAAAAACGAATATATTCGTTTTTCGTATAACCTTTGTTGCCCATTATTATTTTTGAACGCGTTCTTTGTCTTCAGAATCATAAGAAGAATTCAAATAACTTCTTTAAGTTCGGCCATGAAGATTATACCACGCTGCATTGACGTACTTTTTAAACGCTCAAGACTTAAGTTATGTGGATTGAGGAGGTCGTCGAGCTATTAATTACACGTTAAATATACCTAAATATTATTTTAAAGGCCAGTTTTGTTTTAGCCTTGATCATTCATCAGTTTCTTTCTTTCTTTTTATTTTTTTTTACATGATCACCATTAACTTGCTTGAATCAATCTAGTACACAAATTTAATGGAAGTCTTTATTAAAAAGTATGTTTTTGTCCTAGTAGTCCTTGTGACATTGTTATACCCCTTTCCCCTCATGGGGATTTTATAACACCATATTTTTACGGCCCATGGACTATAGTGCTTTGTTAAACTGAAACATATCTTCCCCTTTACTGTATGTTATAGCAGCTTCTGAGTGAACAAGCAATTACTAAAACGGTAACTAAAGTATTGGAATAAAAATATCTAAAGATTAATTTAGGTGATTTTGAAAAGCTTAATCATTCAAGTATAAGTTTGAAAAATAGGAAACTGTAGTAGTTTCAATTAAATAAATTAGTATTACATACACGTATGTAAGCCAAATCATTGTTCTTTGTGTGTTTGCAAGAATATATTTTAACTACAACATGTTTAATGTGTAGTCAATATTTTATTTTTCCGTAATTACAGGTGATGTTTTACATGTCGCCTTTTGAGTTTAAAAAATAATTTCTGTTCCTATAGTCAAATATAGATGGATAATGCAAATAACGCCTGAAAATTGCATGCATATCGTATTTCCTACCTATTTCCTACCAGCTACATCGCCAAACTTCTATGACATCTACAGAAATACTACTAACGTGGGTTCGGGTTATCTAACGACTTATAGTAACATCGAAATACTGATGAAGATGATAAAGACATTATGTAGATGTTTTAGTTTTAGTACTTAATACAATTTCTAATGAACCTATGAGAACTAAAATATGGTAAAGTACATTGTCAGTATATAAGATTACAAGGTTACCAAAAGAAAACGTCCGACTAGCTAATCATGTCCTTACAAGTGAAGTTTTCGTCAGTAGATACGTCAGGCTGGATCAACATAAAATTTCAGTAGAACCTCACTCTTTTTTTTTCTTTATGTTCATGGATGATGATACGTCATTATATGTTTATGGATGATGGTACGTCATTATATGTTTATGGATGATGATACGTCATTATATGTTTATGGATGATGGTACGTCATTATATGTTTATGGATGATGGTACATCATTATATGTTTATGGATGATGGTACGTCATTATATGTTTATGGATGATGGTAAAACATCATATGTTTATGGATGATGGTACGTCATTATATGTTCATGGATGATGGTACGTCATTATACGTTTATGGATGATGGTACATCATTATATGTTTATGGATGATGGTACGTCATTATATGTTCATGGATGATGGTACGTCATTATATGTTCATGGATGATGGTACGTCATTATATGTTTATGGATGATGGTACGTCATTATATGTTTATGGATGATGATACGTCATTATATGTTTATGGATGATGGTACGTCATTATATGTTTATGGATGATGGTACATCATTATATGTTTATGGATGATGGTACGTCATTATATGTTTATGGATGATGGTACAACATCATATGTTTATGGATGATGGTACGTCATTATATGTTCATGGATGATGGTACGTCATTTCATTTGAATATCTACTACAATTTGTTTCTCAGATCAATCACCACATTCTCAAAGTTGAAATCAGATACGACAAAAAAAATAGAACAATCTAGTTTGTTTGTTTTTTAAATGGGTTAGCGTCAGCCCTCCTAGAGGGTTCAACAGCGTTATAACACAAGCCGATTCTGTGTTGTAATATTCTCATAACTTTGGTGGTAAGCTGATTAAAGTCATCAAGATAAAAAACAGGAACTAAAATACTAAAAAAACGTAGTTCGTGGCTAAATATAAGTACAGAAATTTGTCAAAAATCGCATTTGTCTTCGCCCCTAGATACTGCCAACCCCAGTAGCTGCACGTACGTTAATCACATTACCAGGATGTAGATTCAGTGTTAAACTGTTACGCCATCAAGAAGATTTAGGTTTTATGGTTAGTATTTTAAATGGATTGTGCGATACGTAGTTTTCAATTCAATGCACGTTTTTGTTGTTATCGACTATACTTACTTCGGGTGGGGTTATCGGCAGGTGTGGTGTGTGTATAATTACGAACACAATGGAGCACTTGAGGACTGTGCTGTGCACATTGATTAAACACTGCCTCTCTGATCTCTTTGCTAGGAGTCATGGAAGAACGAAACACTTCCCAACACGCTTTACGGCATTCTGGTCTTCTAGACTGTTGACAACAGGACTCTCCAACTACAAAATACATCATCGTTAGCTATTTCTCGTATACCAAAACAAGTCGATTTAAAACACTTTTAAAAGAATGGACAGTCCTGAACAACGAACCGTGGGCTAAATCAAATAACCAGACATCCGAGAGTGAAGTAGAATTAAGTGTAGAAAAGCTGCTAAATAAACCCATAAGCCTTCTAATTTTGTCTGTCGCAAAAAGTTCTTACATACTTCTTTCAAGTAAAGTTATTAAACATGCTGCTAGAAGTGGAGGTAAATAAAAACATACGTAACAACTGACAAACTTACTTTTTATTTACACTTAACTGTCTAGCTGCTTTTCATCGTAGATATTCTTCTAAATATTAGAAGTAGAGGTAAATAAAAACACATACGTAACAACTGACAAACTTACTTTTTATTTACACTTAACTGACTCGCTACTTTTCATCGTAGATATTCTTCTAAATAATAGAAGTGGAGATAACTAAAAAAAAACATACGTAACAACTGAGACGCTTCTTTTTTATTTACACTTAACTGACTCGCTGCTTTTCATCGTAGATATTCTTCTAAATATTAGAAGTAGAAGTAAATAAAAAACATACGTAACAACTGACAAACTTCCTTTTTATTTACACTTAACTGACTCGCTACTTTTCATCGTAGATATTATTCTAAATATTATCAGTGGTGTAGGAAGGAGATGCTAAAAACAGCTCCCGTGCTGCCAAAAGCAGCTCACTCTAGAGGGCCTGGGGGCATGACCCACAAAACATTAATATGATAATATAATTTACAGTTGCTATATAAGTAAAATATGTAAAAGTGGGGTTGCTACAGCAACCCCGGTTCCGACACCTCTTATTATATTTCGAAATATAGACTGTAAAATATTGTGATAGAGAAACATGTAAATATTGTGAACGATGAATTTTTCGATATCGTGATGTATACACTTGTAAATAATGTGAAGGTTAATGAGAATTTTATTTGTTCTTTTTAAGTCTGCAATAACGTTACGAATTCATATGCAACCCATTCGCTAACTTGTTAAACCTATTTTACTTCTAAACACTGAATAACACAGATAAAATAAGAATATATATCACAGTGATAAAAAATAAGTTCCTTTTAACAAGTGCATAACTTACCTTCCTGTCGATCAATACAGAAGTAAAATGAGATTTCGTCACTATGTCGACAAGTATGAGACACCTCAAAACGAGACTTGGCCTAAATAAAATGAAAATACGTTTTTTCTCTTTCTTTTTGTTATTAAGTAGTAATAATACACATATTTTGTTCAGTTTTATTTAGATAATGTATAACAATTTAATTGTTATATAAACTGTTAAAGCTTATAGAAATAAATTGTATCATAATATTAGTAGAAGGTGTAATTGTGGTAAATTTTGAATTCTATTAAATCAATTTTTAGGAAAAAATATTACCTATATATATATACTGGTCAACATTATTTATTAGCGCATAGATTACTTAATTGCAAACAATTGCGCTAAAGTTTCTGTCATTTATTTGTTTAAGCGCAAAGCTGTACAATTGGATATTCTGCACTGTGCCCACGTCTGAGATAGAGTCCCAAATGCTTGCGTTATAAGCTCGAAACGTTGCCCTTCTCAAAACTCTAGACAGATGCAGTCCATCCAATGAGAAACAATATTACTATTTCAGTAGGCCACCAAAAGAAATATTCGTAAAGAATAATACGGCGTTTTTAAATGGTTATGCGTGTACTGGAAATTTGAGAAAATTTGTGAAAAGACTAGTTTTAATAAAGTACATTAAAAAAGGTGTATCTAAAATTATGTTGTTAAACAAAACCGAAAACGCTGAGCATAATGGAAGAATCAATCAAATTAATATTAATAAAAGTTAAATATCACAGAAAAGGGACGATAAAAATATTGAACATAGATGATACATGATAAATACAGCTTACTCTGATAAAAAGTTGCTAGTCTTACCTTTAAACAGGCTAGTCGACAGCTTGCTGTCTGGGGGAGGCTGCAACATGGACGCCCCACCCATTCTGCCCCACGATCCACTTCTGTGTAAATATATAGAAGAACAGTTACATGCATATTACTCATGACAAAAAATTAAAATTTTATACGAAATTATAAAAATAGCTTCTTTTCTGTGTATTTAATAAAAAAAATATTATTATTATAGTTTTACAGCAGTAGTGTCGCGAATAATTATGTCTGTTTTGTGTTTGTCGTTATCCGGATAAAAATGATTACAGCATAAGGTTCCAAAATTATAATAAGATCGTAACAATGAAAAACTAACGATAAGTGGTGCGATCAGTTAGTCAATGGTCCTTCATGAGAGATTTGGTTTGTTTTGAATTTCGCGCAAAGCTACACGAGGGCTATCTGCGCAAGCCGTCCCTAATTTATCAGTAAAAGATTAGAAGAAAGGCGGCTAGTCATCACCACTCACCGCCAACTCTTGGTCTCTACTCCTTTACTAACGAATAGTGGGATTTAGCGTCACATTATAACGCCCCCACGACTGAAAGGACTAGCATGTCTGGTGGGACGGGGATTCAAACCCGTGACCCGCAGGTTACGAGTCGAGCGCCCTAACCACCTGGCCATGCAGGGCCCCCTCCATGAGAGACCAGAAAATTAAAGACCATATTAAGGAAGATATATCTTTTTACGTTACTTTCCCACGAAAACAAACAATACATCTGAGGAAACGGTAAACATTTCTTCACAGTAAACAAATAACAAATCTTATAAATGGTAAATTCTATGGTTGGTAATGATTGATGATTGTAGCAGCCAAATCAAATCGGTTTCGCAATGTCTAACAGCTATGTAATTTCACTTACAGTCCAGTCTCCTGTAGTAGTAGTCTCATGAAGATGACGATTAAGCAAAATTTTAAATATCTCAAGCATTTGTCAGTGTTCCGTTCCGTTACTCTGAATTAATTGGTATAATTTTTTAGTGTTCTGTTCCGATAATATTATTAATTGGTCAATATAAATCTTAAAATATTTTTACAAAGACTCTAAAATTTTCCTTTCGACTAATAGAATCTCAAAACAACATGTGAATGTGATAACAATTTGTTTATTCGTAATTAAGTACAAAGCTACACAATGAGCTATCTGTGCTCTGCCCACAACCGGTATCGAAACCCGATTTCTAGCGTTGTTAAGTCCACAGATATGCCGCTGTGCCACTGATACGCATGTGATAAAGTAGAAATATTTATATAATTCGTTTCTTCGTTAATCCGTTGGATTATGAGGAAATTGCTCTTTTCTGTCGTCACGGCAACCCGCAGTCGTTAGGTCTAATTATGTTCAATCAGAATGGCAAAAAGCTCTCCACCCTAGATCTATCAACAAGTTAATATAAGTCATGGTAATTAGATTCTCTATAAGGAACGATACATGTATGGTAAATTCAACTGGTTTTAGTACATACAGTTTAGCCCTTCATCCTACCTGTCACGCCCTTATAAATGGGGGGAAAACAAAATGTGAATACAGGCCACACTTCAAAGAGCCACCTGTTGTTAAGATGTGTAAAATCCATGATGACAATTTTCAGCGCATGTTTCGGAATATAAAACCTGAACTGGAACAAGGTATCTTAGAAATATGACAAGAAGGCAACTCCGACAGACAAAATGTAAAATTTTATAGTTATGGCACATTGAAACTTTGTAAGTTTGTACACTTCAAAATTGTTTCGCAAAACTACACAGAGGGCTTCCTGCGCATAGCCGTCGTTAATTCTGAACTGGATAGATGAAAGGAAAAGCGGCTTAGTCGATAGCACAAACCGCTAACTATTGGGTTATTCTTGTCTAATGGAATAGTAGGATTTTGACCGTTACTTTTACATCGCATTTTCGCGGCATCAGGATGCGAAACATGAAACCCCGTATTCACAGACCCAAGAATGCTAACCTAGGCCATGCCCAGCTACAACATTGCTGAAGCGATGGTCTAGCAAGCGTTTTCGATCGTCTACGGTCAGTCTTCGAGGACAATCAAATAGTATTTATTTCATTTTAGTAAGTAATTTCTTTCGTATTTTACACCGGTGGTTGAGCGACAGGTTTAGGGGGCTTATAACGCTAAAAATCGGGTTTCGATGCCCGCAGTGGGAAGAGCATAGATAGTCCATTATATAGCTTTTCATTTGACAACAAACAAATTTTAACTTTATGTAAGCCTTCAAGTTTTCAACAGAGCCATCCGGAGAAGCACATTTTTTTGCTATTATTTTATCATACGCCTAGGCCACACTGTTCGTTTAGGCTTTACAACTGAGCTCTAAAAACTGCCGTATCTTATTCTAAACCAGGCAATAGTATATCAGAATTTTGAAAAGGAGTTTATAATGTTATTCCTTTTAACAACAAAAAGGCTCAGACACAATGCAGCACTTGGTTACTTACTTTATTACACGTGTTTGTTTCAGATTTTAAGATTTTAAACAAACAAGGAATATATAATTAAGTAAAAGGATAATTATAAAAATTTGGCCTGTCGTTGTCTGACAAATTCGAGAAACACGTGAGAGTGAAAAAATTTGATCAATAAGCAATAAAACGTAATAAGGAACTGCACAAAATGGTTTGATAACAGTATAACTGACGACTGAGATGTAAACGGAATTGGGGCCTTAAAACAAACCCTGCTTAAAATCTTCTTTGATCTAAGTTTAACATCCCGGATGAAGAAATGTGGGGTGAGGAAGACGAAATATTAATGGTGTCTAAGAGCAACATTCTGTTCTTGTCAGTTCAACACTGCTTCACGACAAACTTTTACTGTACCTCAAAAGGTTATATTGAAGGCAATTTACTGGTCATTACGCCATGACCAATATTTTTACATGAAACAACGCTAAGTCGTTTATTCTTTCTTTAACTCCACTACAATCCTCAGAAAAAAATAAGACCAGTCTTAGATTTTCTAAAAAAAATTAATGAAGCATTTTTTTTTTTTTAGTTTTGAATAAAAGTAAGATTTCATGAGGTAAAGAACACAGAAAAATAAGACAGAATAAAAAACTATAGCAACGCTTGAATCGAAGAAATCAAGAGAGCTTGGGGGGGGGGGCTGTTGGTTAGAGCGCTTGACTCGCAATCTATGGGTCGCGAATTCTAATCCCCATTACTGAACATGCTTGTCCTATATGGTTGCAATCTGCGTTGGCCGGGTGTAAAACTTCTTGGCTACCAAAATTACCACTCGACATCAGACTAGTTGGGATTAAGGTCGTTACGGAGAAGAGGTACATAAAAAATCGAGACATACATAAGATTTTAAGTATAGTGACAGTAGAAATGTAGCAAAAATTACCGAAAATATAACTACTTTTTGTCTAAATAAGACAATAACTATTACTATACTTTACGTCCGTTTTGGTTATATGAGAAAGATGTTAGTAAGAGAAATCCTTGGTATGTAAGAAAATACAAAGGAGTATTAATAGAAGGAGAATGATAAAGCAAATTACTTTCAAAAGAAAATATTACGCTACTTGAGTTTCTGGACGATACAGATTACTGAATAATATGACTGTAGATTTAAAAGTCTTAGAGCAATGTGATATTTACTCGGTTACTTTTTCTCGCTTCTATAACCGCATATCATAAGGTTGTATGTTTTTCCCCCCTGAGGCAATTAATTTCACACATGATAACCCTCAAGTTAACACTCCACCAGTACAGTATGCATGCTCACTAAAACTTCCTTCTCGTGGAAAGTTACGTTGACAGGTGAGGGTGTTAGCTGGTGCTTGCGGCTAAAGTTACCAGAAATATTGCACCACAGAAAAAAAAGGGGGCAGAACGTCACCTAAGATTGCATGTATTTGGAAATTTAGATACCACTAGAAAACTAAATATCCCATGTGTTTCTTACCCCCCCCCCTCTCATACCGTAATAAGATACTATATCTTTGCAATTTCTCACGTTGATTAAATAAAAAATTCAGGCTTAGCGTATAGTTTGTTTCTAAATTCGAACGTCACTAGAACATTATATTTCAATCCACTTCATTCAAATCTTTGCTACAAATCATATTAAACAAAATGTGGTGAGTGTAATGTCGGGAATTATCGAATTACAATATAGCTAACTAGAATAATTTCGATAATGTAGAAGAGATAAAATAACAAACTAGGTTTGTGATATGTATCTGAATCAGTCAATAAAAGAAGGGTGTATATAATGAGATTTTTGTGTTAAACATAACAACCTTCAGCAAATATTGTGTATTAAAATACAAAACCTGCATGTTTCCTTCTAGAAGAGTGCAGAAGTACAAAAGAAGTGTTTAGTCATTTCATTAAGTCGTGAGATTTGTGCGGCCGAACACAAGCTAGAAAGATGGTAAATCTACCAAAATTCTGACAAAATATAAGCATTTGTTTTCTTACTACTGGTTGTAAAACTTCAGAGTTCGAGCAAAAAATGATTTCAGGAAAATTTGTGCCATTTTAAGGTTCCCTCGCATGGTGTGCAATTTCATTTCAGATATTTCTAAAAGTAAGGTAATATTACACCGTAGCATAATGAAACTAAATGAATTCTTGAGTCATATGCATTGCTTGAAGCAACTTTATGGAAAAGATAAAACCTGGTCTTCAGACTTTCCATAAGACAATATTAATTTTACGAAAAGCGTTAATACTAATCAATTTTCTGTTTTTAAAACTTTTTTCTTTCCATGTAGTTACCCCCAGTAGCACAACGGTATGTCTGCGGATTTATACCGCTAAAAACCGGGTTTCGATACCCGTGGTGGGCAGAGCACAGAGAGCCCTTTGTGTAGCTTTGTGCATAATAACAAACCAAAACATCCACGCAGTTTTGTGAATATATGGAAATAATGTATGATCGTTTTGGAAACTAGAATGTATATTTTTTAAATGATAAAATATAACTATTTTATTGCAGAAAATCCTTCACGGATTGTTTAATGTCCATTTTATATATTTCGGAAAATATAGAATTAGTTTTTCTTTTTGTGCTCCTTTTACATTCTTTACTGGCTTTACCTTGACAACAAAGGATCAAACTTGACGAAATATGTTCCATTGAAATTGCACCTTTCCTATTGATTAAATTACAAAAATAAATTATTATTCAATTTCTTGATTTAATCTGGAAGTTTTAATGAGGTTACAGCTTTCTACTTAAGCCAAAAATGAGAAACGTTTTAGAAAAGTGTGTGTCCAATTCAAATTTATAGAGTAAATAATGTAATAAATTTGTAAAGTAAAATACAATATAATATTAAGTAGTCATTTTGAAAGTCAGTGAAGCGTTAGGAAAATTTATCACGATAAAAAATAAAAATAGTAGACATTGTACTTAACAAGCAATCTCTGACTCAACGGTAGCAGAAATAGTAAGGCACTTTGTAGGAACCATACTTTTTATCCTCAGTATCTACAGGAATCTTAATTATTTTATGGGGAATCCAGAGGTGTGTAGATAATATCCAAAGAAATTTTGGTTAGTAGAGTTTGGTGATATTTACCCTAATTTAGATAAAGGTCATTGCACTTCTGTAGTACATAAATAAAGAAAAAAGTTGTCAAAAAAGGAAGTAAATGTAGGGATGGCTAATATCAATCCATCAAAAACAATTCAAACAAGATAGTAGGGATGACATATGCATCATCCTTACATAATAGCACAGCCACACAATGTAGTAGAATATTAATAAACAAAATAGGATAAATTAAATTAAACTGTGATTGAATAGTTGTATATATATATATTGCTATATGTTAATTCTTCTCTGTGCTATTATGTAGGGGTGATGCAAATGCCATTCCTACTATCTAGTTGGCATTGTTTTTGAAGGATTGATATTAGCCATCCCTACATTTACTTCCTTTTTTTTGGAAAGTTTTTTATTTACTTATTGTTTTAATGCAGTGTTTCAATAGACATAGGAAGGTTGTATTTATAAGCAAGTACTAAATACATTCAGATTTCAGCTGTAATATTTATTGTTTATCTATTATTGGCTGGTAATTCCTGTTTCACCCTGTACTTAAGTTTTTTAAAGGAACATCACATTTCTGTAAGAAAGCTAACTCCAAAAGGTATTGATAACATCGTTTACACTAGAATTATGATTTTTTTAAATTACTACTAGTTATCAATAATACTTATAAAATCTGATATTTCGTTTGAAACTATGTCACTTCAGTGAAATTGGTTGACACTTTTGATTTGGTTTTGAGTTATCATGTAATAAAAAAGAAGCA